GTCTCCGTTGCACATTTCCATATTTAATTGCGCATCTTGATAAGAGTGGCTCCCCTTTTCCGCTCTGCCTCGTTTTTCCAGCAACAACGTTTTGCTGTTGACATTTTCAATGCGAAATTATGCGACACGGCAACTCTTTTTCCTTCTTGTTCCAGTTGTTGTTATTTCCCCGGTTAGCGTTTTCTTTGTTATTCATTAGCTGCCGTTGCTGTTGACCTCAATTTTTATTGCCTGCCACGTTTTTAATGTCGCGTGTCGCAGGTTTAGTTCTTTTTTTCGTTTTTCCTGCGCTTTACTTACGACATTTTTTTTACGTCTTCTTTTATTTTTTAGCACTTGTGCAACAGGTTGTTGAACTTTAATTTTGGAAAGGGATTATTCTTCGGCTCGGCATAAAAATGTCTCAAGAGTTAATTGAGTTGCTTAAATGCGTCCATGGCGATACGATCTTAATGTGGATTACGTGAAAGATAATACAAAAATATTTTTTTAGTAATGAGATTTAAAATTTATACTTGTATAACTTTTATTTTATTTTAAAAATAATTAATGGCCTTTATTTTAAATATTAAATCTATTATTTCTAGTAAAGCTTCTTTTAATCAGCCATTTAATCTCAAATTCCTCATAAAAGTTATTGAATTAAATTCCACAGCAAGAATACAAATTGCATAATAGACAGCTTTCCCCTAACCCTACAAAGTGCACCCGTCCACAGCCATTATTACCCATGGCAACTTTATGACTCTGTTGTCAAAATGTTTATCTAACACTTGAGAAGCATTGTCCATAAAATGATAGAAAAAAAACGCATTAAGAGAGCAAATAAACTTTTATTGAGATAGAATTCTCGTTACTAAAACAGATGTGCCCCAGCTTTGTCCCCCTTCCCCACGCCCATGGAACCCCCTCGACGAATGGGTCAATGCTCACAATGAACAAATAGCCAACGAACGATCATAACGAGGTTGAGGGGCTTTAAGGAAGGAAAATATATATATATATTTAGAGGGAGAGTAATCAGAACAGCTCGACAATTGTTTTATAATTATTATTTCATGGACAAAGGGAAAAGCAAAAAAAGGAAATAAAAACGTTTTAAAGAATTATTTTGAGCAAAAAATACTCTGCAATTCTTTTCTTAAAAATATTATGCTTTTTTTTTTAATACCTACTAAATAATTATGTAAGAAAGTATTTGTAAAATTGTATTTTCTCACTTAATCTTCAACAGCTCAAAAATTGTACAATAAGAAAATATGAAATTAAATTTCAATGGGACACAAAGCAAAAGTCAGACTCAGATGTGACATTTGCAATGATTTTTCACCCTTTCGAGTTTTCCAACATGCCCTTCCAGTTGGCCACTGAGTAGCGGGTAGCATAAAAGGAAAATTGCTTAATTTATGTGTCATTTATCTAAATGGAGCAGCCGAGCAAAAGCAATGAAAGCAAAGAGCCCAATGACGCCTGCTCCGTCTCCCTATATTATTTTTATAAAGCTCCGCGATAAGCAACTGTCAGTCGGTGCAACGGGGGCTAAAGGGGCTGTGGTGCCAGAGTAATTAAAATCTTCAACTCTCGTTGTTTTTGCTGTCTTTGCTGGCGACAATAATCGCCGGCAGTGAGTGAAAAAGAGACACACAAAGGGGCACTGGCACGGAGGGACGGGCCGAAGAACATGCGATTAAAATTTTAAATGACAGTTGACAGTTTCATCATCAGCATGTGTACAAGAGTTTTACATAGATATGAGGCAGATAGTGCCTTGCAAAAGCACAAGGGGTTCCAGGGGTTCAACGACGACAGGAACTGGTGAGCAGGTGAAATGTCATATGAGATTGACTTCACAGCGGAAACTAAAAAGAAGAAAGAGGGCAGTTGATGGTGGTCCCTTATACTTGTAACCTAATATGTGGATTTAATTCTGTAGTTTTTCATATTATCTTATTGAGACTTTAGTATTATTTAATAAATTAGTTAAGTATCAACAATCAACAGCTTTACCTTCAATTTTCCAATCAGCGGTCTATTTACAGTTTACTGCTAAAATTAGTTTCTTGCCGCAGAATTAGTTAAGTTCCGATCCAAACCCACCAGAACAAACACTAAAAATGTGTGGAATTGTCGTCTAGACAAAAAAATCAAGCGACAAATAGTCACTCTTTGATTGAAAGCTGTTCCCCTCTTCCCTTAACCCCATTGTTAACCCACTACTTACCACTAGCAAATGAAAAAATATTCTTAATTTTATTAAATAAAGCAGAATATTTATGCAGGATATTTTTTTAGCTTGCACTTTTGGAAAACTCTTTCAACACTTTTTATACCTCTAAAGAGTGGTTAAACAAGTACTTAATGGGTTAAACTCCTACTCGAACAAAGCTCGACGTTTGTTTCGATTGTCCGACCAACTTCAACTTGGTGCCTGGCATTCCTTTATTTGCCCAGCAGATTAACACCTTTGCGAACGGACAATGGGCCCAAATCCAAATGGTATTACCGACCAGAACAAAGAATACAAATGCAGCCTCTTCTTCATAATCAAATGCAATGTGGGATTGGCTAAAAAAGGAATTCTGCTGTCTGCACTTCGTCAAGAGAAGGAAGAGGAGACAGAGGAGGGCTGACTGACTGGCTGACAGCTGAAAAAGTCACCTCGCTCCCCGGCATTTCCCTCGAGGAACCCGTTTCTCTCAGTGCAACATGCATTCCTCATGCCATACAAAACAATTGACATGCATTGTTGCTGGTGCTGCTGATGTTGCTGTTGCTGCTGGGATGTTGCTGCTGTGCTGCTGCTGTGCTGCTGCTGATGTTGCTGCTTCATCTCTCAGTTGCTGGCAGCCTCTCAACTGCAGAACCTCAGAAATTGTCACAGCAACTTGTGCCGCTCGCGATTTTCCAAAATAAAGCTGAAATAAGTAAAAAAGCATACAAAACTGGTTTCCAACGATGCAGAGAAAGAAATAATTATGTTTGTAAATTATTTATTGAAAAAATTATTAATAAATCAAAAGAATAATCCATGGATTTATTTTATTATAATATTATCCATTTTCTTGTCTTATCTAAAAGTAGCAAATTCATTACCAAGTTCCGTATAATTTTCTCACCGTGTCACTTTTAGCAATAAGGACTCGAATAGAACTGGTTCTGTGCACAGGCCCTGCTCTTCATTTATCAATACTCGATCGGAGACCGAAAGTCCGGTTTCCCTGGTTAGTGCATTTCATTTGATTTCGTTTCGTTTCATTCGGATTGCCAACCATTCTCAGGCTCCGATATAAATTAAGATCCACATCGGAAGGGAAACTGGAACTGCGATTGAGTTGGTGGAAAACGAAAGAGGCCAACGGCAGGTGGCATTTCGTATCGGGGCTCGGGATACAGATCCCGAATCATATATCCAGACCCAGAAATGTGATTTATATTCAATAGTTGTGTACGTGGGTATAGCTCGTTTCGCATATTCGGTTAAAATTTTCAGTTGGAAAGAATTCTTCTCTGTGAATGTTGCAGACTGCCTGCTGTTATTTATTGTATTCGTTTATCGGCATTTTCCCGGTTTTATACTCGCTTAATTTGCCCAAGTCCAGTCTTTAGTCTTCACATCTCTTTCCTTATAGCTATTTCCTCTCTTTCTAGCAAGTACGGGCTCATGGTTTGCCAGCATGACATGACTTTTATGGTATAAAGTTATATTTCAGGCTTCCAGTCGTAGATAACTTCAAAGGCTGGCGATTTGTAAAGGCGCCATCTGGCGTTGAGAACGCGAATTCAATAGCTATAAATGTCAGGCCATCGATGGGTTAAGGATTTATGTTACAGGCGTGCCCATTTAATCGGGATTATAATGTTCGGGTCTTGGGAAACGATTCCTTGCAACGAAATCGGACTTGAGTCTTACAGAAAATATATAAAAAAGATAAACTTGTAGCGCTGGGATGTTAAAAAAATGTATTAATAAAAAAATATATGTATCAACATTTTTAAACATCGTTAATATATTCCGATTCCAGTTTTATTTCAAAATTTTTTGCACAAATTTTACTCCTTTAACTTATTTACCAAATATATTCTTATTTTTAGACATACTAAAAAAAATAAAAATTATAATTATCCGAAATTTATTTGTTTATTTATTATTTATAAACAAATCCCAACTCACAAAAAAACGAAAACAAAAGTGAAAAGAGGCACATTAATTGAAAGTACTCAACGAAGCGTGTCAAATTTTCGTGCGGCAGCAGCTTGGAAAAGCGCGACAAGTTTCCACAGAAAAAAAAAACCAAAATTAACATGTCATATAAGGAGGAAAAAAGTGAAAAGGCAGAAGCTTCAACGAGGGGCTAATCGATAATTTATGAGCGGAAATATGGCACACCGAACGAATGATGGGTAAATCATTGGTGGTATGGGTGATCGGCCGGCAGGGAGCGGGGGGCGTGGCAGGTGTGAGCTGGGTATATTGTAACATGTTTATAAATAACGCTAATGAGCGGGAGAGATCGTGGGGTGGGGCGATGGTGGTGGTGGTGTTGCAGCCTAACCGCTCGTAAAATGTTTAAACAAGCGGCGCATTGACTTTGAACTGAAACGATGGACTGGGGGAGCCATAGACGCTGCCGTTTGGGGTTATCGTTGGGTAAATATTTACCTGGAAAGAGGTACATGAAATGGTAAAATTAAACATTGTTTATCTCCCGTTCTGCCTTTCTCCTCAGTCTGCAATCAACAGTTATTTTCATGCCCCGCCATTGTTGACATTAAATATTGTTTGAGACTCAAAGGTCGATGGGCTTACCTGGAAATGTCCTAAAAAGAAAGTTTACGTGTTCGCTTGTAGAAATGTGAGGAAATTGTACTTTGATATTTGAACTTTTATTGGGTTTTATCGTTGTTGAAATTAATATATACAACCTTTGGCACTTTTTAATAAAATTGATGCGCTTCTTAATTTCAAATATACTAATGAAATTCATTTATTTTAATTTCAGGCGACATCCTTTCTGGCGTTTGTTTTGTGGGTCAGCTGGACACGCACTCCCTGGGCGCCTTCCTAATCCTGCCCCTCTGCATTTATCTCTCAATCGGAGCGCTCTTCCTGCTGGCCGGATTCATATCGCTTTTCCGGATCCGGACGGTGATGAAGACGGACGGCAAGAGGACGGACAAGCTGGAGCGCCTGATGCTGCGAATCGGTTTCTTCTCCGGGCTCTTCATCCTGCCCGCTGTAGGGCTACTAGGCTGCTTGTTCTACGAGTACTACAACTTTGACGAGTGGATGATCCAGTGGCACCGGGACATCTGCAAGCCCTTCTCGATTCCTTGCCCGGCGGCCAGGGCTCCTGGATCTCCGGAGGCGCGGCCCATCTTCCAGATCTTCATGGTCAAGTACCTCTGCTCGATGCTGGTGGGGGTCACCTCCAGCGTTTGGCTCTACTCCAGCAAGACGATGGTCAGCTGGCGGAACTTCGTGGAGCGGCTGCAGGGCAAGGAGCCGCGGACCCGGGCGCAGGCGTACGTCTAGTATGAGACGGGTCCGGCGGGCGGGGCCAAGTCCACGCCCCTCACTCCCGATCCCGATCCGGAGGCGGCCAACGAGAGTTACTTAGAGTTTAGCACATAGACACCCCATCCCCATACCCAAGAACAAATTACAAGAATAGGACCCCCCTAAAGCAGTCGTAGTTCTTAGTGGCTTTGTATAAAGTTCATCCCCCAAGAAAAAAAGAGAAAATCAAAAGTTGACCCTAGGCTATTGTTTGAACTTGAATTATATTAGTTGATACGAAAGCAAGCTTGTTGAACCAAAAGTACGCGTATAAGTCGAGACTCTAGCTCTAAGTCGAGTTGTATTCTGTAGGATTTCATTGCTTTCGTGGTATACGAACCTCTAGCACCTACGATCTTTCATCATTTGACGCAAGTTTTAAGTTAGGTTTTGATTTTTTGAAAGCTTTAAATGTGCCCTACAGTTAATGAACGTATAGATATTATGATTACGATATGAATGTTAGGCATTAAAGGGATGTGAGCCTCGGCCGATCTGCAGTAGATCTTAGTGAAGGCTTCAAACTCCATTCATTAGTCACAGAACAAATATTTTCCACATTAACACGGTAATTATGCATATATAGTATACAGTCCATACCCAAAACAACGGCAGTTCGGTGCTCACATCTGCGCTTCATCTATGTATAAACAAAAAGGAAACCATAAACTATATAAATGTATTATGTAGCAATAAATGTCCTCCATGTGCTAAACTTAATGCAAATACGATTATTATAATTATAACTATAACTGTAACTGTAATTCTAACTGTAATTGTATATTTGTTGAACTAATTAATTCTAAATGCGTAATGGAATAATTTTTAATTCAATTTTTAAATGACGTTGTAGTCATAGCACATAAGTGAACAAACAAACAAAACACGCAAATTTTGTTGCCACTTTATGGAAATTTTTCCCCTCACCCCACTAAATAAGAGTTGAAACTGCCATTTAAATATTTGTAGACACATGAAAAATCACCGAAAGGAAGAAAAGGCGCCCTGCGATGTTTGCCAACTGTTGAGCATTTGTTTTCAGCATTTCGCATTTAATTGAGTCCTTGATTTAAATTGGCACTAGTAATACGAGAAATTAATGTCCAAGCCAGATTTGTGTAGCATTTAAGCTGATGGAAATGCATAATAATTATGGCAATTATCGATAGTCGGTGTAACAGAGCGAGTGCCCAGCGGCAACCAAACAATTATAAGTGTATAAAACAAACATAAGCACACAGAACATTGTGGAATGGAATCATCCAATGACAAACACAAACATAAAATGCAAAAATAAAACTTTATTTTATTGTTAAAGACTGAAAAATGTAAACAGTGTTTTTAATTCGACTGGGTAAACGGTTCTGTGCAATTGTTGGAGATCAGCAACATTACCTTTGAACATCTTTTTAATTAATTGGGTTATTTGCGGTTGCAATATGTTCAAAAATATACTTGGTGTATTTAAGCTTCCACTAAATGCCCTCTTTATAGATTTGCTTACACAAGGAATATTTAGATATAAGGAATCCTCGGTGTTGAAATGGTTAATTCAGAAATAGACTTCTGATTATATGATATGCACTGTTTATTGTGAGTTCTTGCTGCATTTAAGAGACAGTGACGAAACTTCAAATCCTTTAAATTTAAAATAATAACCAATGATGAAGGAAGTCCCAGCAAAATATGAAACCACCTGAACTAGAACAGTGAGCTTTCCAATACTACGAAAATATACGTTGACTGAAGATCCGGCGCACATCGGAGTGTTGGGCTCGGCGCCTGCAGATCGGACATCGGTGTGACCTCCGGATGGCAGTTCTTACACAGGTTCTCCCGAAGAGGTGTCCGCATCGCAGGGAAACCACGCTATGTCTGCCCTGGGTGGTCCAAGGAGAGAGGCATATGGGGCAGTTACTGTCCTCCGACATGGCGTTCATCCTCTGGTTAATTCCGTTTAAGCCGTCGCGGACTTGAACGATTCCCTGCCTTATGGCCATTGCGCTCTGCTGCTCCACAGAAGTGTGATAGAACAACCGCTGGCGCAACAGGTCCAGGATGCGGAGACGCTCGGTATTGAGCCATTTCATCTGCCATCTGAACCCCTCCAGTCTGCGGACCCGCTCCTCCACGTGGACATTGCAGTCCTGCAACTGCTCCGTATTCAGTAAAAGGTTCTCGAAGGTTTGCAGCATGCCCAGCGTTTCCACCAGAGACCTCATTTCGCCCAGGGGATCCGTGCTGTTTGTCGTCATTGTGTATTGTTATGACAGAGAACTTTGGATAACTTGATCATTCTGTTATTTTTTTGGGACTTAAAACTGTTATCACTTACAGAAAATATTTATTTTTGGGGTGCCATGAATTTTTAGACTAAGGGCCGGTTTCTCGAATCCATGTCAAAGTCCCTGATAGCTATCTGTTCCAAAAACTAAAGACCAGATAAACTGTTCGTAAAAGCAAATCCGCTTTCTCGACTGCTTTAATTTATCTGAACGAGAAACAATTACAGAGTGCTGTTAACGCACTTCGATTATTTCATCAGCCGTTTGGGTGTAATTCAAAGGAAAAGTTAGCAGTGATTTCGTTTCTTCATCTTAGTTGGCTTTGGGAAATCAGCTGTCGCTCTATCGAGCCGAAAACGCTTAACAGGGGCTCCGAGTCCCTGTCAAAGTTAGCTTTCACATTGATGCTCGAGAAAGCCAAAATGCCTTAGCAGGGACTTTATCTGTTCGAGAAATGTTAGCCGGCACTCGAGAAATCCTTTATGTGAAAATAAAGACAGTGTTATTATACCCCGAGCAGCCATAGTAAAGAAATTGTTTATTTCCCCAAGAATCTTTATCCAAGTTACGTAATAATTTTTCAAAATAAAGTTAACTACTATAAACCCGCCTTCTAAGGGCTCTCTGAAAATCCCAATTCTTCTCACCTCCATTTTGTGTGGCCCAAACTTTTCCCATTAGAAGCAACTACACATGTAAGCGCGCAGACAAACTATGGCCACAAAAGCAGCTCGAAATTCAATCATAACTTGCCAACACCCGCTGGCCAAGTGCCGCACCCATTTCGTCCCTCCCACCTCCAAGCACTTGAAACACATGGCCGTAAGCCTTGAAATTTACGAGGGGCAACGAAAAATCCACGCCCATATAATTTTGATTACACTTGTTTTCTAAATACTCTCCCAGGGAAACCGCAAAAAAGCATGAAAAGCATCGGAAAAAGGAAAACACGCAGGCGAAAACAAAAGCGTTCGAAACACATGTGAGCGGTGAAAAGGCCGAAATAAAATCTAGACTAAAGACTGTAATTTTTGGGGAGGATGCTGCTTGTGCACAGAACAAAAATATTGAAAGATTTAAAAAATAGATGAATAATCTTTAAATTATCTTCTCTTAAAATACTATGGAGGAACTATTAAGTGAAATATTTATGTACAATTGTTTTTAAAAATTAATGTTTTTCTTTGGACGATATTTGTTGAAATAGTTTTTCCAAAATTTGTTTCGTGTGAGCTTCAGTCAGTCGCTAAGCTCCTTGGCAACAAATTGCAGTTAAAAATTGGGGAAGTTTGGGGGAGGGGGAAATCACTCTGGTCGCCCACGCAAAGGGACGTGTATTAAAGGATATGAAGGATATGGCAATGTTGTAGAAAACACGTGTGCGATTTAACAACTACAACAGCCACACAAAAAACTTTTCAGCATCACGGCGAAAAAACAGAAACTGAAACTGCACACGAAAATGGAATCCAATGTTCGGTGGTGAGTTTTGTTGCGTTTTTACGCGACCGCCATAAAAAAGTTATTAATGTGTAGGTTTCGCGAATGTGTGCTTGTGGGTGCTTGGGGGGATTTGGGAGGGAAAAGCTGAAGGGAGGGAGTAGGAAAAGCTGGCTGCACACGGCCACAAAATGGCGCGGGCGTGTGCAAGCGTTAATGTGGCAAAAAATGTTTCTGAACCAGGACGATTTCGATTGCGTGCCGACTTAAAATACACTCTGATTCTGGATAAAATATACCTCAGTAAAATTGATATATGTGCATCGAGATTTTGTTGTTTTTTTTTTAACTCCTGCATGTTACATTTTTATATTTATTTCTTTTATGTAGGTAGTAAATGTACAAAGTGAATGAGCTTAAAAAATATTTTATAACAAATTGTTCCATTTTTAGAAAATAACTTAAAACTATTGTTCATAGAAAATTGATATTTGTGCAAAATTGAGTTGAAAAGAAAAAATGTATTAAATACATTCATATTATATCTGAAGTATTTTTTTTAGTATGATATAGTGTCTCCCTTTTGTTGCTCCACTAACTGCAACCGTCTAGGCATTGAATTAACCAAGTTCTGCAGGACAGGGGTATCAATGTTTGCCCATTCTTTAACAATTGTATCCTTTAGGTCCTTTAAGGTCTCGAACTGCCTTCCACCTCCGAAAACTTTAGCTGATAGGATACCCCAAAGATCCTCAATCGGATTTAGATCTGGACTTATAGCAGGCCACTGCATCAAGGGGATTTTTTTTGGATTCCAGAAACATCTTCGTATACCGTGCAACATGTATAGGAGCGTTATCCTGTTGAAACACAAAATCCTCGCTGTGGAACTCTTCTGAAAATGGTATAAGCTCACTTTCCAAGAGATCCGTATATATTTCCGCATTCATGCGCCCTGGTACAAAGCATATTGGCGATTTCCCAAAGAAACTAAATGCCGCCCAAACCATAAGAGACCCACCCCCATGGTTGCGTCTGTGGCAAGTCAGCCGGGGATGTCTGGGGTCTCGCCAATACTTTTGGTTTCCATCTGGGCCGTCTAAATTGAATTTTTTCTCATCACTAAAGACGACATTATGGAATTCATTGACCCAAAATTTATATTTTTCGTAAAAAGCAAGTCGGGCCATTTTATGGCGCCGTAATAGCTTAGGTTTTGGCACCTTAGCTTCGTATCGTAGATGTAAATCCTTTCGGCAAATTTGTTGCACTCTTTGCCTAGTTATTGGCAACTTCAATTCTGCTTTTATTTGGGCGCAACTCATCATTTTTTCGGTTGCCAAGGCTCGAACGTGGCGCTTAGTCCGCTCATCAACCTTAGGAACTGCACCTTTTCGGTTGTTCTGAGCATATTTTTGCGGAGACTTTAGGAAATTTGATATAGTATTGCGATGTCTGTTTATTGTTGTAGCAATAACACCCACTTTAACGCCGCAATCCGCCATCGTTTTGATTTTAATCTGCTCTTCGTTACTTAATTCGGTTCCACGTGGCATTTTTATTAAATTGATCCGTTTACTTAACTTAACGCTTTATAAAATAACGCGATTTAATTTTTAGTTCGGCGCTTATAAGTGATCACACAAATTTAGTCAAATTGTTCCAATACATTATTACCAGATCACACTCTAAACGTAAATGAAGAACTTTGCACATTTATCAATTTTCTATGAAACGCATCACTTTGCGTTCTTCTTTATTTTAACGGTGCTAAAGATTGGGAGCTGATAAGAAATCAATGCCTCACGAAACATTAGTATATGGGCACTTCCAAAAAAAAGTCCACCAAGCCAAAAACTTTGAAACTTGAATAAAACATATTTCCACATGATTTTGCCCCGATATTAGTTTCTAATTAGTTGGATACTGAGCTTAACTACAAATTTGGAGTATAGTTTGATTATTTTTATGACAAACCCCACCAATATACGCAAAAATCAGTTTTTGGCTATTTTTTTGTTATTTTTTGGACCTGTCTTCTGTTGTAAATTTATCCTATAGGAATGCTAATATGTGACATTTTTCTGTACTGAATGCTTCATTCACATGCTAAACTATGAAGTTAAAAGCAAAACATCCAGCAATTGAGAGTTAGAGGTAAAGAAATCCGCTTTACAAAACAGTCGGAAAAAATGTCCCGAGCGACATGTCCCGAGCGAATGTGGTTGAAACTGCATAAAAAAAAAACGGCAAAGAATTTTTCAGTAAAACCAAAAGCATTTCACAGCGACATGTTTGAACAACATTCTAAAAAAAATCGCATTCAAATATTCCATCAGAATTTGCTAATTTCTGGTGTTGTATGAACTTCCCCGAAATCCACTTCTATTTTTGTCCCGAGCGAATACGGCAGTTTTTTACCGATATCTTAAAAACTAAAAGTGGTACAAAATTCTGATTTTTACCAAAAATAGAGATTGGGAAGAGTGAAAAGAAAAGCCCATAATTAAAATTAAAATCCATTGTTTTACAATTTTTTTTCAACTTTAAAGGTGTGCAAATGTCCCGAGCGACATTTTGGAAGTGCCCATATATAAGAGAAAAATTGTGTATACTCAAAACATAACTGTCGCTATTAAATAGACGGTAATATAAAAAAAAAAAATTGCACATATATCAATTTTACTGAGGTATAATATCTGATAAGTGAATCTGTCAATAAGATCATAGAATTTTCCTTCATCCTAATTATTTCAAAATTTACATAGATTGTTAAATTAATGTACATTTTAAAAAATTTAAGATGAAGGAAAGTTCTAAGATCCTATCGATAGATTATTATATAAATTAAATATTTTAGCAGAACGTTATATACTTTAAAAGATTTCAGAAGAGCAAAAAATTATATTAGCAACAAAAAAAACTTAAAATGTTTAAAGCACATTCAGGCAAATTTTAAAATAATATAGTTATTTATTAAAAGATATAAACGAATTTCAATTCGCACATACCTATGCACTAAGCTGATACATTTCCTTATTGAAATGTTTTTATTTTTTAACCCTAAATTAGTGTATCCCATCATCGCCACTAAAATTCAAGTTCATCTTCATCAGACTTTTATTATTTGCAGTGCAGTTGTGTTGGCGCTGAATGCGGGCGTGAAAATCATAAAGCAAAACATATGAGTAGATGTGAAGTTACTAAAAAAGAACCATAAAAAAGGAAAGGAACTCGCGGCGGTAGAAATGGTAGGGGAGAACTAAACGTCACTGTTGCTGGCGAATGTCGAAATGAGATATGTTTGTGCGGCTGCACGTTTCGAACGATGAGATTTTAGGTTTCAAATTGAGCCAGCGCATATTTAGAGAATCATATTTCGTATAGAAAAAGGAATAATCTATTAAGCGCTTTTCTGATTTTTCATCGCAAATCGTTACTTTCACCATGCAGCAGTCAACAGACAAAGGGGTTTAGTAAAGTATTGGTCGTTTCCATGGCCTTTCTGTACGTCCAATGGACTATGTCCAAAAGAAATACGATATATTTATTGGAGTAATCAA